GAAGCAGAGAGAAGAACAAAATCTTATGTCTGCCCCCTTTTCCTAAAGTATAAATTTAAACAACAATAAACCTTAGTTAAGAAAACAAAACAAGAACATCAAATCATTCAAGAACAACAGAATTTTTAGAGAAATAAAGATATGATCTGTATAATTACTTTGCTCATCGTGTAAATGTGTAAAAATTTTATTATGGGACAAAAATAGGCTACATGAATTTAGTTATGACATATTAATTACACTTCTGTTCCACCTGCACTGCACTTTATTAACTTGCCAAGTGTTAAGTAAAATTGGCAAAAATACAAATAAAAAAAAACAGCCTAAATCTTTTTTTTTTCTGCAGCAGCCATGGTAAATCAGGGTAAAACACTGCAATAATGTTGGCTTTTGATTGCACTTGTGAATGAGCCTTACTCAGTGTGGAGATACTCAGAGTTGATATATGGTGAAATCATCTGTTCTGAAGTTAAACATTCAGAGTTTCCTTGCTCGGAGTCAGTTAATAAACTCATAGTTTGGTGACCTTCCTTTCTAAACTACCCCCACCTCCATTCCTCAGGTGTTCTGTTGACACGTTGCTGTCGACAGGACTTAAAGGAATGCCTGTAAAATAAAATGTGACACAAATTTGAATTTTCACAAAAACATTGTTTTGCACATTATGTCGCCCATCGTATGAAAACTAACAGAATACGATAGTTCCCACATTATGTCGGCAAAGATGGGTGAAAACTTTTATTAAAACCCATCTTTACTCAACGAGATGCAGACAGATGAAGAGATGTTGAATCATGACAGAACTTTGAAGTTGTTGACTCACCTTTTGGAGCAATGAAGTTCATGGAGTGGATCAATTTGTTACTGTTTCTCATTTCATTATGGCATGCTGATGTTTGAAGGAACATATATGATTAAACTGTCTCATTTGAGGAGTGAAATGTAATGTTCCCTCATGTTTTCACCCATAAACTCTCTGAGGGTCTTGTTGCAATGCATTGATCTAGGGGTTTCACTTCAGACATACTGTATGTAACAGGAACAAATTAGGTGGTGATACTAATAATAGTAATATAATGTACTGATTTGTCAGCTATATATTCACAAAAGAAAAATAATAAACTTCCTGTAAGTCTGTTCTCACTTTGCACTGTTTTGAGTTGTGTTTGTGCTGTTTGTCCTTGAGATCCCTGGATGGTAAAGTATGTACATTTGAAAAGCAGGAAAGCTTCTCTGTTGTTGTTGTTGTTTAAATGAATGTGCACAAAGCAGTGGTCAGAAAAATCTGGACTTTTTGAAACATGGTGCAATCTGGATATGACAAACACAAGCCAGAGCAGATGCAAAACCACAAACAAGTTTCTATAAGGTCTCACCAGGTGCACTGAAATGTGAAATCAAGACAGTTCTTCACAAGAAATGCTGCCATGAGGGTTTGAATCATTTTCTTGTTGAAATATATATAAAAAAGTTAAGAATTTAAAGTATTTCATAGTATTTTGGGAGCAAAGTGAAATTTTATTCATCCCGATCTTAAAACTTTCCGTGTGCAGCACCTGATAAGCTCTGCGTACTTTCATGTGTCTGTGAGAACCACCCCCCACAGCCCACTCCTGCCTGTTTCAGAGAGCGGGGGTCTTTCTGGGGCACTGACACCGGATCCTACACGGCCCTGGAATGGTGATGTAAGGCAGCGAGGAGGGAGAAAGAAGGAATTGTCCGCAGGTGTTTAGGGGAGCCGAGGAATGAGTGGGGGTCCAGCACAGTAGCCAGATGGACAGCAGATGACTTTTGTTCTCCTGAATGCTCCATAAAATGTGTGAGCAAAGGCAGGACAAGAAAACTGAAGGAGGAGGCAAACAGGAGGTTGTCTCAAGTGAAAGTTTTAGCTTCACAGTGAACCCAAAGTTCTTCAGTGTCCTAACACGTCCACCATTAAACGTTTGGACTTCAGAATCTCAACTTCCCTTTTTAAAGGGATGATGGATGTTCTTGTTCACTTCATTTACTTCATTTTCTATTCTGAGTTTAAAGCTAGAAAGCTAATGAAATTTTTAAACAAAAATGATTTGCAACCATTATCTTGACGTTTTAATTCTCCCTTATTTCTCTGCACATCAGTAACATGAACACCAGCGGTTAGTCTGCCTCCTGCTGACAGAAGTCAGACATCTTGTTTCTCCTCTGCAGGCCTGCACTGCCCTCTGATGGTGCACAAATCACACACCATACAATAAAGAAACCTTGTCTGTTTGACGTTGAATTACACACAATCCTGCTCAGTCTAAACAGTCAGACTCAGGTTTCAGTTCAACTGCATACAGTCCAATTAATTTCCATTCTAACACAAAAAAGTCAGTAGATTATAAAACTGGATAATGACTAATGTGTTGAAATAGTTCACTCAGTTATTACAGCATCACACAGCAAATTTGAGAAATTAATTTTACATTTCAGCTACAAACCTTGTCACAGAACAATTAATGAAGCACCTCTCAACTTTATTAGTCTGATGATACAAACGACCCATTACTCATGTTTTACATCCATTTATTTTGTCTCAGTTAATTCATTTTAGAGCCCAGTCCCAGGCAGAGGAAACTGTCTGCATGTCAAGGTTTTTTTTTCTCAGTAGCACAATTTACACAGTATGTTTTAGATCAATGTTGTAAATTGATAATATGAAAATGAAATCATCACTGACTTATTAGTGAAACAAAATGATTTTCCTTTTAAGAGCTTCAGTTTTTTATTATTTCATGAACAAGATTTTGAATAAATCAATAAATAAATATGTTTTATGAAATAATGCCAGCGATTTTTCAGACATGAACACTGTTTGCATTTTAAGCACAATAAGAGTAACAATATTTTTAAGTTTTCACAGTGGATAACATCTCAAGTCAAATTTTAGAAATGAAAATAGATATCAGCTCTCAAAAACTGACTTTGACTCACGCATCAGTTGAGCTTTTAGAGCTGTGCTCTGTTCCTAATCAGTGTTTGAACTGAGACGGTGCCGTTATCATGTGTGTTCCTCGTCCCAGTAATCTCAGCCAGCTGTCCTGAACTCTGAAGCTAAAAGCACTGGATGTCCTTGAAGGAGGAGGTTTTAGGAAGACAGAAGAGAGAATATTTCACGAGCTGTTTGAAAGGCCACAAAATGCTTATAGAAAAGTTATGAAAACTAAAAAAAGAAAATAGCTCAGCATCAAAAAGTAACATAAAAACATACCTAGCTCAAACAAACTTGCTGACATGCTGATAAAGTGGGAAAATATATGTTTATTTTTTCTTATTCCAAGGATAAACAAAGTGTATGATTTTTTGTCTAAAATTTAAAAATAAACTCCCACAGAAAACTTCAATCTTTTAGGGTTTTAGCTGACAGTGACACAGGAAACACCTGCAAATCGTATTAAACATATCAGAGTACAAGATTAAGATCCCAAACACATCTTAAAGCAAATAGCTGACTTCCTCAAGGAGAATAAGCTGAGGATTTTTACAATCCTCACAGCTCTTTGACACAAATAATCGAAGATCTGTGGATAAACCTCAAAAGAGCAGTAAAGATAGAAGCTCAGAACCAAAGATGTAATGAGTGAACATATCAGAAATGAAAACTATAAAAGGAGCAAATGTCTGAAAAGCTACATTTTTTATCCTGATAAATGCTGAAATGAGGCTGTTAATGTTTGATTGTTTTAAAACAGTAATGTGAACATAAGAAGAGATGTAAGTTACTGAACACAGTTTAACAGACATGTCTGACACCATATCATAGTACTGTTTTTTCTTTACTAACTTTTAACACAATAAAGTTAGTGAGACCTTTTGTTTCACTCTATATCCAGACTTCAGCACTTCTCTGTTTAGATCCTCCGATCTCCTTCTTTAAAAGCGGCCTCTCTCTTTTCTGCGAGTTGTGTATCTTTGGTTTCCCCAGTTTAAGCTCTCCAACCTCACCAAACCCCTTCACACCAACAGAATTTGCTGCACAGGTCCAGTCGGRCTGGCGACCCACCATCAGGTCCAGACTCGGCAAGGAGGTGGTGCCGGTCACTTCCCTAAAGCCAAAAGAAGACATGAGGGAGGGGCTGTCGGACGGGAAGGGTTGGTACGTTCTGTGCATACCTGGACAGCTCCTCCAGGCTGCTCGCTGCCTGAGCTTCATGGCCTGACGGATCTTCTTCCAGCCCAGGTGGTTGAGTTCAAGCAGGTTGAGCAGGATGCAGAAAACCCCGACACAGAACATGAAGAGCAGGAAGATGGTCTTCTCCGTGGGCCGGGACACRTAGCAGTCCACTGGCTGGCTGCAAGGGGAAGAGGTACAGAGGAAATGGACCGGCACCTTGAAGCCGAACAGCTTCCACTGGGCCACAACGAAGCCGACCTCCAAGACGGCACGCAAACATACGTGGAAGACATAACATTTGGACAGAACTCCGCCGGACACCACAGCGCTGTCCTCCCTGATGGTGCAAGCTTGAGTTTGAGTCAAGGGCTCTGTGTTTTGGGGTTGTCCTTTCTGGAAGCTCTGGGCGGTGATTCCCTCCATCACATCGCCTAAGCTGTGACCAAGATGCTTGTGAGAGCGAATCGAGCAGCTGTCCGAGTCGCAGCTGAGATCGTAGGCTTCCTGTCTGCCGCTTCGCCCGGCGTTGGGGCCTTCCACCTCGTGGACKTTCTCCGTTCCTTTGGCCGACCTGTGAGCGGTGCTGTGCGGCTGCTTGGACAGGTTGTGCCACGTGTAAATGATGAAGCAGAGGGACGGCGTGGAGACGCTTATGATGTGGAAGACCCAGAAGCGAGGCTGGGAGATGGGCGCAAACGCGTCGTAGCACACCGTGGAACATCCCGGCTGCAGCGTGTTGCAGACGAACATCTCCTGCTCGTCGGCGTACACRTCCTCGGTCGCCACAGCCACGACAAGCAGCCGAAATATGACCATGACGGTGAGCCACAGGCGTCCGATCATGGTGGAGTGATGGTGGACGGCGTCCAGGAGGCGTTTGAGCAGAGTCCACTCCGTCATGGTGGCCTGCGGCTGCCAGCCGACTTGAGGGTGGAATCACTGCCTGAAAAAGAGCAGCTCGCTTCGAAACTACTTATACTTCTGAACTCTGGCTCGTTCCACTTGCGATACCTCGTAGAAAGGTCTGTGCCCTAMAAGTCCACCTGGTCAATAAAACCTCTTCTTCCTTGTCACATTTGTTGTTTCTGTAAAAGTTTTTCAGAGCAGTGATCCTCTTTAAAAAACCTGCAGGAAGCTTCTTTTGTTGCAGAATATTTGCCRGCCTTGCCGACTGCCTTGAAGGTGGTGATTTGGTGCAAGAAAGCCATCAGTTTTACACAGAGACGGATGGTCACTTTACATGAGTCACTTGGCACACTCAAGCCTCTTTTGTACTGAGGATGCTTTTTAAAAACCAAGAGACATCCCCCTTACTTTATAAATGGAGCTGCTGATAGTGCACAGTGATAAAGCATTCTTCACAGATTAGTCCTCTGAAAGCTGAGGACTCGTTCTTGAATGGTTAGATGCATCATTACAAGAACCAGAAGTGAAAAACCACAGACAGGTTCTGGACAACTCTCACCCCATAAACATTTGAGCAAGAAGTCGGTAAAATCTTTTTAACCTGTACAAAAGAAAGAAGAGCAGCACTGTCTTGAGTCGGTCTGGTGTCTGGCAAGGTTTTCTCTTTCGTAGACTGTTTTSCCCACTTGTCTCAAGCCTCTTGCCAGTGTTATCTGTGTTTTAAAAAAAGCTCCCTGAAAGCTCTGCTGGGCTCAAACCATTGCGTCCCTCTAGATAAAATACTCAGCAACCGCTTCACTTACTTCAAATACTTCCCCCGGAGATACGTGCCTCATCAGTGGAGTAACTGCACGGGGAAACTAAATGAGTAACATGCATGAGCTTTAAAGAAGATGTGAAAAACTCACATCCGTGTGAAACTGCCAATAAACAGAAGAGGTAAAAGCAAAAGGGTGAGAACCTGAAGAAAGAAAAGGTCAGGTTTATCTGAACTTTTCACCTGCTGAATGCRAAGTTGAAAACATTACACATGTTAAATAACATTGACTTAAATAGAATTAGAAGAACCAGCATCATTTGAAGGAATGCACATCGAACGCCACTTTTCTTGTAAAGGTTTTGAACTAAGATTGACTCGTGTTGAAAAACAGCTCATACTCAAAGTATATTGTCAGAAAATAAACTCTCTATCTGGAGAAAACCATCTGCTCTCTGCTTCCCTATAAAATTTRTCTTAGGAAAGTACACAAAAACTTTCACATAAATAATAAAATGCCAGTTAGTAAAACATTTGTTTCTCAGAAAGTCAGCAGATTRTGTTGAACCTTCACTTTGTTGCACTCTCCCATCCTGAGCAGCACACTGGCGACAGTGGAAAGAAAAAAACTCAGTTTTAATGGGAGGAAGCCACTGAAAGAATCAGGCTGAGTGTGGGCAGCCATCTGCCTCATTTAGCTGGGATTAGTGARGACATAAAAGAGACAAACACAGAATGTTACTAATATTGTGTTACAACGGAAGGCGATGCTGAATGCTTCAGAGTTTAACGAAGCTCCACGCGAGCAGCTGGAAAACGGCAGATAACTAATTTCCCTAATGGGGATTATATGGGGAGTATAAAAAATTCAAAACAAAAATAAATAAAATATATCTGCTTGGAGTCAGAAAGGTGTAACTAAAAGACAGAAGTAGTGATTTTCAGAGAAGAGATTTGGTTTACAACACTACCAACCATGTAAAGGTTAATTAATGTTCCAATGTTCAATACATTTCTCACCTGCCAAAATCTGAGTCCTTATTGAGATATGAAATAAAAATCCTCCTAAAGTATTAGAAACAGTCCTGAGATGGTGTGATTGTGTCTTTTTTTTAAATCTCCAGTACCAACTAAGCTTTGCTGTTTACACTTTATTTTAGACTTCCAAAGCACCATTAGAGACTTCCTGTTTGCTATTTCAGGATGAGCAAACAGCTCATACCAACTCAAGTGTTAATTACATTTTAATGATCACATCCTGCCTATTTATAGAGAATTAAAAATGTGTGGAAAAGATGTTTCCTAAGATCTTGATTTTATTGAAATTAGTGGGAGCCAGTAAAAATCCAGCTTTTATGAATACAACCTATTTTCTAATGCATCAGTTAACTTTATTTCAGTGCATTTGGAAACAATAGATATTATCCTGATCCATCCAGTGTCTGTAAGTTTTTATCACTTGCTGTAGAGCCCTCATGTTTCGTACATTCAGTACATCTCCGGTCTTCTCTCACCTTATAACCCCAGACRCARCTTGYGCTCACAAGACCASAATCTTCTYKTGGTCCCCYGTAYTCGCTTCAAGACCCGTGGTGACTGTGCCTTTTCCTYAATGGCKCCCAGACTGTGGAACGCCCTTCCGCCCTATCTAAGATCTGTTGATAACACTGACTCCTTTAAAAAACAACTAAAAACACACATTTTCACTCAAGCATTCAAATGAATATATTCAACACCTCACAACTTGAGTTTATAAGCCCTGACGAACAATCATGTGTGTTATTCTGGTCTAGTATCCATCCCCTCCACCTATAAGGGTGAGAGATAAATTGAACTTCTGTACTATTAAATTGTATATTGAACTGTATTTAATGTATAATTTGTACAGCTTTTGTGATATTTTATGATATTTTTGCTTTTTCTTTCTGGTAATGGATGTACAGCACCTTGTGAAACCCTTTTCTGTGAAAGGCGCTTTATAAATAAACTTTTACTTACTTACTTACTTTTTATTTCCTATTTAAATCATTTGGTGATTCTGTAAGAAAGCTTCAGGTTTCAGCTCCCCGAGGAAGTCCAGTTGTGTCTTATTAAACGTGTGGAACCGCAAAATATGCCTGACAAGTTCTCAGTGTTACAGATTACCAGGAAAATAAAACGACTCATCTTCTGCTCCTATGACTAAAATGCTGAGGCAAACCTGACCGACAACGTGCTCTGATTTAAAGCATTGATGCAGCTCAAGCCGAAATGTATTGGCGGGATGTACAAATTCGTTTCAGTTCAGTTTGAGATGTGTTAAAGGTTTACGTAGTAATACGTCCCGACTAACTTAAACAAGCAGAAGAAGCTGAAAATGATGTAAAGTCTGGTTTAATGGCTACTTTCAGGTTAAAAGACAAACAATGAGGGCAACAATTCATGTAGAATTGAAGACACAACAAGAACAAAAATGCTTCTAACCAGTGCAAACAGGCAGAACAGATGTTTATGGCACACAAGGCATCCTCGGTGTCAAATCTCACATGATAGGTTTGAAAAAAGCCATCTGAGGAACAGAAACATTTCACTTTAAAAGGCTCCTGCTCCAAACACAGGAGGCAGGTTTACACCCAGTTCTGTTTAAAAATTCTACCTTAAGACAGAAAAACAGGAGAAAAACCTGCAACACAGCAACTTCTGCATTCCCCTGTTTCACATTACAGATTGCATGACTGTTCCTATAARTTTTTAAGGCAAAAAAWSAAMMAAAAAAAMCTGAAGTTATTGTGGTTTTTGTTCAGATTCTCACATCAGCAACTTTCTTGTTCTTCCTCCACTCACACACAGACAGACAACATTAGTAACAACTGTTAACTCTCAACTGTTCTCACGTGACAAATAAACACATTTTTGTTTGTTTCCATTTCATTATTCATACACATTTCTATCATATTCATCGTAAACTTCTTTGCTCTAAAATGTCTGCATAAAAATAAAATTGAATAGAAACCTAGCCTTCAAGGTAGTCCACACATTTAATCTGACCGCAAAGCGTCTCGGGATGAGGCTGCTCCTCCAGGATTGAAAATAAAACAGCGTTTTTCTTTTCTTTTCTTTTTTTTTTTTTTGTTCAGAGAGCAGTATCTTCAGAGCCAAAAAGCTGGGTGGCGATGGCTTGATAGTCAGCTACCGGAGCTTTACCATCAAAGTCTGACGGCAGGATGTCCACATCAAACTCCTTGAAGTAGCTTTCCAGCTCATCCCCGTGTACAAAGACCTGGAACAAGTTCAGAGTAAAGATGATTGCATTTGATTGGACAGAACTGAATCTGAAATAGGTAAAATCAGTTTTTGTGTGCGCACTCTCTCCAGTAGTTTGGCCTTCATGAAGGGTTTGACCACGTTGTAGGTGGTGGTGAAGTACCAGGGCTGGTGAATAACATGAACTGCTTTGAAACGAGCAGGAAAAGAATCCTGGAGACACACGGGAAAATATATGAATAGTTATGAGGCTACGCTTTAAAATAAAGTGTAATTTTTTTTGTCTGCCCTGACCTGCAGCATGTCCACCATCTTTTTGAGCTCAGCTGTCTTTATTCCTGAAGCRTGCTGCATGGTGAAGCCTTTAAAATTCTCAATCAGGACAAAACCATTGATCTGAGTCTCCTCGCTTTCAAGCAGCTTCTCCAGGATCACACAGTACGCTCTTAGGACCTGTTTGAAATGCAGAAACAYAAAATACTGTGCAAAAGTTTGAAACCAACTCCCGACTTCTTCTTAGTTTGTCAGATTTTGCTGTAATCCTGTAAACGTGGTCTTGATCAGTAGTTCTCCATTCTTTCTGAAGAACTTTAAAAGTTTTTATTAGTTTTTCTTTGTAGATATTTCTTCACATTTCCAGTCCCCTGACCATGACAGCAAATTGTGTTGCATGCTCTGATAAACATGTCTTTAAAAAGGAACAAGCACAAGTAGAAAACTAAAGACTACAGGCCTGAAAAGCAATTTTAAACAAATTTTAGTGCCTTTAGGAAATAAGGGGAAATGCAACAAAGTCGCATTATCCTTCAGTTCATCACCAAATGTGAGCCAAATATTCAGCTTAGAGATTTTTGTTGCTGCCAAAATACTGTTTTTATGTATCAAACTGCTATAAAATGTTATAGGATGACCTAAAATAACATAGAACAAATGTCTTTGAGACAAAGTGCCTAAAATCCTATTTTAACTTCCATAATTTATGTGTCGACACACCACAATGATTAATCCTTTGAATTTAGGAGTTTTGTTATGCCAGACTGATTCAGAGGTCAGAGCTACGCAGCAAAAAAAAAAAAAAAAAACACTGGACTGAAAACAAAAGTAAAACCAGCCAAAATCCAACTAAATAAATAAATATTATAAAAACTTGGAAAGGTCTTCAGAGAACCTGAAAATGTATACTCAAAAAGGTTACAAGTCAATCCAGTTTCTTGGAAGAATAKCTAAATAAAGGACGGCTCAAAACCTGAACTGTGTTGCTGCATTTTTATAAATAACACATAAAGGTTTTGCTTAAAGGTCTTTAAAGGTTCAGTTTTATTCCTGCTTTTACAGCTACCTCATCAAACGTGATCTCCTCCAGGTCCCAGTTGTTGATGTTGAAGAGCAGGACCACACGCCCAAACCTGTCCCTGGTCGGCAGGACTACAGGGTACCCCGCCTCGATGGTGCTGCGGACGGCCTCGGGGGTCAGGTTCTCAAACAGCTCAGGGTACTCCCTCCTGAAGCGCACATAACCTAAAAAAATAAAAATAAAAAAGAATATGTTGAAACTAAAGAGTAACTGACACCATCTGTTCTCCAGAGCATGAAGAGTCGCTGCAGGTTAGCGAGGTTTTGTCTGGGCCTCATCACACTGAGGCACCAACTAGCCAGCGTTAAAAGAAGTCCGACACATGTATCACAGCAGTACACAAGTTTACCACACAGTCCTGCTTTACGTAAACAAATCATCCTTTTTAAATACATTTATGTGAGTAATCCTCCCTCTTTGTTATTTGTCTATTAATAAAGCTGAGGCAAGTTTGCGTTCCTCTGCTCTGCTCCTTTGGCAAAGTTTATGGAAATAAACTGGTCAAAATTCACACTTACTTTGAAACTACGATTTAATTCAATTTAAAAGATTCTGCTAGTGATTAATTAGAAATTARGAATGTTGCTCTATACTATCATAGAGATGACCAGTGGAAAATGATAACGTGTTCAATAACGTGTGTTTTCCCAGAGCTGAGCAGGCAGTTCCAACAATAAGTGTGTCACATGGTGTCAAATCAAACTGGTTTTCAATCAGCCCTCAGCTCTGGTTTGGTGAGGTTCTCATCACAACACGGGSGAATAAGCTTCTTGTCCAATTTGGACACAAAGAGGAGCTTTATCAGAGGGAAACTCTGAGGCATTTCAGAGCTCCCAATTAATGAACACATGGCTCTCTGTCTGAACAGGAAGCACCCGGAAACAACAAAGAGCTCATCCTTAATTACTGACAATGTTAGGAAATGTTTGCAAAAACTGAAGCAAAGCACAAGGTTGCTGAAATAACAGAGGTAAAAACTCGTCGTTCTCAAAGTTGGGGTCGGGACCCACAGTGGGGTCCTGAAACATCAAAGTGGGGTCCTGAAAATACTTTCTGAATTAATTGCACTAAAAAATGACAACAAAAACATTTTTTGCCATTGTTGTTACAAAAAAATAAAAATGAAAATAACATTAGTGTACTTAAAATGAACAAAAATAGTGTGATAAATAATGTTACAATGCACTTGTTTATTTGACGTGAAAACAATGTATATGAACCGACAACTGCTGGGCTCAAGTCTCTGCTGCTGGCATTTTATGGGTCAAAAGCTGAAAAGTGTGAACCACTGCTTTAAGCTGAAATAAAAAACTTTTTTAGTAAAGTCATGCAGACTTACAGGTTCTGCCGCTCACCTTTCATGAGCTCGTGAGCTCTGACCACTTCAAATTTGCGAGCTCTGAGGAAACGCAGGAGCAGAGAGTCCGGTCTGTCCCCGAAGCGCTGCTGCACCAGTTTGGCCAAATCGTCTCCCTCTGCTGCCCTCTCCTTCATCGTGGCCCGAAGGTCCTTCAGCGACGACGCCCGCCGTTCGTCCGTCTCATTCAGCTCGTCCTTCGCCTGCAGGACTCAAATATACACGCCGTCAAAAACTGACAACGTCTGCAGGAGCCAAACGAAACAAATGACTGCTTAAAACTTCTGATCTGTGGTCTTTCACCTTCTGCGCAGTGTGGCCGGGCAGTTTGTGGCACGGGCCAAACACCGGCCCGTGATCCTTCACTGTCAGGTGCTCCAGCTTCGACCTCATCGCCTGCTCTTCCTCTGAAACCAGACGGAAAGTTCCCRTCTGCAGAAACATGAAGAAACAATCATTGTTAGGTTAGTCAGGCTTTCCTGTTGTTTTAGGTTGAAACACATGTTTGAGGCACAACATCTGAATTATCTGTTGCACACAACTAGAAAAAGTCCCTTTATTCTCAATGTCAGCATGAAGCTGCGTCATCTGACTGTCTGATCTCCGTAAATGAAGGATTTTCATCCCGACTTGTTTTTAAAAGCTGAACAGCATCAGCAACAATCAAGTGTTAATAAAGTATTTTCTATAATATTTTGAAAAGAATCAAACTTACTGCAGCCATTGTTGAAGCTTCACCAACTGTGAAAAAGAAAAGAAAAATAAGAAAATAAGAAAAAAAAGAATGAGCAAAAACACAACAGAGCACACAGCAAAAAGGTCAGCACTGCTCCACAATAAAAGGTGGCACTGGAAAAGAACCCATTATTGGTAATAATGCAAGCTCTTAATAAACCACTTGATAAGTAGCTATAGTGTATGAAAAAACAAGTTATTTCTTGCCAATTCTTCTGTCTCAGTCTTCACTTTTCATCAATTAATTTTATATTTGAAACATTGCAGTGAGTTATTTAAGACCA